CCCCACTAAAAGCTCAGCATCAAATGAGGGGCTCGTACCCACCTCAGTGCATCCTTACAACAACCCCTCGAGGCTCAGAGAGGTGAAGGGACTTGCCCAAAGTCATATAGCATGTAAGTGGCGTCAGGTTCAGGCCGGCCACCACTCAGACTTGCCCTTTGAGGGGGCTCTGGACTCCCAGGCAGGAGGTTTGGTTTCCAGTTTTGGAGTGGGCGCTAACGCTCAGGTTGCTCTGTAAAGGGGGTCAGTGCCGCCGACCTCTGGAGACAGAAGGAGCTGACACAAATGCTCTCTCTCAGCGCGAATGCAAGTGTGACCCGTGAGGTTCACCTCAACCCCTTCCCGAGCAGCCATTTGCTCAGCCTGGCACTGCAGGGGCCCCGGGTCTGCTTTTCCTACCCAGTCCGTGCCCACGTGTCCCCAGGACCTTACAGCTTCTTTCCCCTGTGAAGTGTGTGTGCACTTGCGGGAGGTGCTGAGCCCCGCTATCGCAGACCGCTGCAGGGACAGCCTGGCAGGCACTGTGCAGAGTCCAGCTTGCCCGGCACCCAGTCATCGCCCCTCCCCTCCTCACGTCCTCTGCTCTGGCCGGAACAGCCTTGCTGCCTCCCTGAAATGCACCCTGAGCCATCCGGCCGCTCAGCTTCGTGCAAGCTCTTGTCCCCCTCCTGCATCTTGGAACCCTTTCCCTCTGGCCCTGACCGTCCCCGTCCAATGCATCTGGCCCATACTGAACTCTTAACTTGGGCTTTTCTTGCTCAGGGTCGGGGTCTGCTCCACCCAGCTGGAGGGCAATGGGCTGTCTTGGGATGCGAAGTCCTTCCTGTAGGGCCTGGCGCTGTGAGGGTGGAAGGCCTTGTGTTTGTCACCGACTCCTGTGGGCTCAGCATCAGCTCTAGTCACTGGATGGTGGGAAGCTCTGGGGGTCCCGCTGCAAGAGTCGGGGCAGCCAAGGTGGTAGGGCATCAGCCGGGGATCGGGCAGCAGCTGCACACGACCCGTTGGGAGGGTGGTCCCTGTTTGCGCCTTAGTGCGACCACACTGGTGCGTACTGGTAACTCAGTCCTGCAGGAGCCGCCATGTCCAGGGCAGCAGCAAACCAGCCCGGTTTCTCGGGCCTCCTCAGGACCCCTTCTGGCTGGCCCCCATCTCTGGCAGCCCCGCCGCCCAGACAGCTTGTGCAGACAGCGCGCTGCACACCCGGTGCCTGATTAATGACGAGCTGGCTCCAGTGACACGAGCGAGCAGCAATTCGGACACTTAATAGGGCCCCGGGAGAAGGGCTGTCACAAGGGTCTCTCTTTAAGTCACTTGCTCACTCCGTTCGTTGCAGGGCGTGGCCCTGGGCCTGGTGGCGGGCACAGGGGAAGAGAAGTCTGTGCCTCTTGAGCCTCCCACCCTGGTGGGAGAGAGTGACGTGCAGGCCACCCCAGCCAGCCCAGTGACAGGGTGTAGAGGTGACATCCGGGAGCCCAGGGACTGAGAGGCAGAGGAGCCCCAGGCTGTGGTAGGTGAATTCGCTGACTCTGACCCTGGCCAGCATGGCTCCAGCTGCCCTACACGCGTAATCTCCTGTAATCCTCGGGACAAGCCTAATGAGAGATACGATTACTCCCACCCGCCAGACGAGGAAACCGAGGCTTACAGAGGTTAAGCGCGTATCCGAGGCTACGCAGCCCGTGAGCAGCGGATGCCACTCCAGGCCCGTTTTACTTCAATGCCCCGTCCTTCACACCCCTCACTGCCCAGATAGCTGTCCCACAGCTATGAGGGCGCAGGCTCAGATCTGATCTCTGCCATTGGTTCCGTCCTGAGGCTCAGTTTATCTGCAAAATGGGCTCAGCTCTGCTTCTCAGGGAAGCCAGCCTGGCACGTAGCAGGTATCTGATGGTGGTTGGTATTATTTTGTGTGTTTGTTTGCTATAGTGTGGGGAGAAGGACAGACAGAGAGAGAGAAGGATGGTGAGAGATCACCCCCAGAGTGGATGGCCACACCACAATTCCTTCTCTTCCATTCTCCTTTCAGGATTTCGGGCAGACACGCACACGCGCATATAGCTGCTGTAATTGTCAAGCTTACTGGTCCGGGACTTGAACCACTTAGGTTGGCCATGTGGGATCCAGCCGCTTTAACCTTCACACCGCCTGCTGCCCAGTGGTGAGACTAACTGCTGGGGAACCTGAGGGGCCCGGGGTGTGTGACTGTGGAGGGCCAGCCAGGGGAGGCCTGGCATGTGACTTTAGTGGTAGACAAACTGTGAGGTGTCTTGAATGCCAAGGGGTGAATGGTTTGGACTTAGAACAGAGGGTGCAGGAGGTGACGACGGGGTGGGGGGTGG